TAGATTAATGCAACAACATTTTCCTATTATGGGATGGGAACTCTATCCTGATATTTCACATAACAGACTTGTAATTTCCGTCTGTGATATTTTGTTACAGTTCTGCCATGGGCCTAGCTCAGCTATAGATTGGGTTGTGGACATGCTATATCTTCCTGACTACCAATTCAATTTTTCATGTACTATAGCAGAATCCATATTAATGCACTGTGCTTATCATGTGGACTTTAATCCACAAACATTAGTATCACAAAGCAAATTTTAGGATAAAAATAAACAGGTCTGGATGCATGTTCATGTTATGAGCGTGGGGAATTTAGAGATTCGTACTGCCCACAGAGACACCGTAAATGTGTTAGATTATTTAGACAGCTAAAATTAGGTAACGTGAATCCCACTGTAGAACTTTGACTGAATTCTCACCATTGGCATCATGAGTTGTAAAAGCAGTATGGGTTTTTCTTAAGTGTCATCCAAAAATATGTTAATATGCTTCCTTGCAGATGAAAATGCTGACACATCGTCCATCTTAAAAAAAAAAAAAAAAACAAAACGCAAACACACGCAACAAACACTCCCCCCCCACACACAAAAAAACCCCAAACCCAACAAGCCCCAAAAACTCCAGCTAGGCAAAAGACATTGAAAAGTAGTATTTCAGTACTCGTAATCTGGAAAAGTGAAATAGGAAAATTATTGTTTCACTGAACTTAAAAGTCCTTTTTAAATTGAATATTTAATAACCAAATCGGAAAGCCACTATCTTGATTAAATCAACATCTGTGATCCCTCTTGAACTCTTATTTAATCCTTCAAATAGTAGAGAACGTAATTCGTTAAAAATGGACAAAACACTTGCAGTGTTTGGATGGGTCTAAAATTATCATCGTTGGCAAACTTTCAGGTAAGAGTTTCATGCAGTTTTGTGGAGCTTGCTGTAGCAGCGAATCTTGTGTTTTTACCTTGTTTTTATCTTGTGCTCTGATGTACTCTTTACTGCTACCGAAAATAGCTATTATTTTATATAGCTGCTTGAAGTCATACATTAGTCCTAAGATTTGTTTTTCATTTAAAGGAGAAAATTATTTGTAGAAGTCAAACATTACATCACAATACTGAACTCCATTTCATATTTCTAAATAAAACTGCAGATTAAGAGTGGTATATTCCTTTAACATATCTGAGCTGTTAAAATTATATATCCATCCATTCATTGGGAGTGATGTGTTTAAATGCATGTTCTATTCTAAAGTAGGAATTGTTTGGATTAAATGAGTCAAAGACAATACAAATTTCACTAAGCAAATAAAAAGATTTAAAATGCTATTTGATGAGATGGAAAATGTTTGTTTTCTGTGTTTCCAAGAAAGTATTACTGTTGCTTTCTCTGTAAAGAAAATATATCACAAGGCAAGAAGTTCTTGTCTTTCCTGGTACCAAGTCCTATGTTTTGTAAATCCCCAGATGTGTGTGATAAATCAGATCAGCCCAGATTTTTATGAGGAAAGTATGCCATACAATGTGCATACTGCAAAAGACAGCATAAATTGCCCTGATTTTAGTATGTTGCTATGATGCCCAACTCAGAATTTTTTCAAGTAGCATTCTGTTGATTGACTAAAAAATTAGTCTGAAGTATGTTCTGCCAAGCATGGCTATATGAGAATGTAAGCAAGATTGTAGTTAAAAACTTTAACTGTGTTGTTTGTCAAAATTGCTTTTAGGACAGTTATATCATTTCTCAATACAGTTCTTTTTGAAACACCAGAGACATACAGGAGATACAAAGAGGTATAACATTTTTTGTACATTATGTGGTACAAGTTGGAAATATTTCATTTCATTTCCAACCAGCCATGCTATTTGTCTGTATTTTTCTCAATGAGTATGGAAGCAACTGTTGTTGAGGGCAGAGGGAGCATCTCTGCTAATGAGTTGCTCATATGTGTGCCAGATGTTGCCTATTTAGAGCAGCTGTAATGTTGGCGCAATAAGCACAGTTCAATAAAATTCAGCTTTAATGCAGAAGAAAGATTAATTTTCTAAGCTTTTAACAGATGTCTTAAACAGAACTTTTTACTTGAACAGAAACATTAAACACACAAACACGGGCCATAAAACGGAATGCTATTTCTTACTGCATTTCTGAAATTAGATTTTGGGTTAAGTACAATGGTTTACCTGTTGATCTGTAAACACACATATTTAAACTAATTGTCTTGGCCATATAAGTTGTTGTGTGACCTATAATGAGAGTCAAATGACACACAACTGAGGAAATGACAGAGAAATTATGAACATTAGAGTGAGTGTATTCATTCTTCAAAAGTTTTCTGCTTCGACAGTTCTTGGAAAATTCTGATACTGACATACTGGGCCTGTGGCAATCTGTTGCCAAATAGCCATTGACTTCAACAAGGCTCAGTCTTTTATCAGACATCTTCTGTCAGCAAACCAAATAATGAAGCACAAAATTATTTTATTTCTTTCCTTTTTCTTCCTCATTGAATGTAGTTTTTGACAGTTTGCCTCCTGCACACTACAAAGAGACAATGAACACTGTACTTGTGTGGATCCAGCAGTCAGAAACTAAACTCTCCGTGCCTCAGGTTGCAGTTGCTGAATATGAAATCATGGAGCAGAGACTCAGGGAGCTCAAGGTGAGTGGTCAGGCTGTGGGAATGAATGTCTCAAATGAAAAGTTCAGAGGAACAGAATGCAAAGTTGTCATGAGACTGCTGAAGCTTACACTACAGATCTTGAATGAATTGTACCCGTTTGGGTTTTAGCCAAGGGCTTCAGGACACAGTGGATACTTACTTGTATTGATTCCTAAAGTTAAAGTAATCTTCACTATTTAAACCAATTTTATAAGATATTGAATGTGTTAAGGAAAAGCCTTTGTTTGTCCCCATGATATACAAAATATTCCTTTGACGATAACTCTGATAGTTAAGTAAAGATTTAACTCATTTCATTTTCCAGTGCTGACATGGAAACAATTGTGATTTGCAAAATGCAGCATGGGCTTTGTCAGGTTTTCTGTTGGATTTATAAGCAGACACAAATGTGGAACAAGTTTTGCCAGTGGATACAAACCTTCCCTGCATTTCAATGTTTGATACTGTTCTACTACTGGATGGCTAATGAGCATGTTGTTTGAAGCAACTAGTAATGCACATGCAGAAATAAAAAGTAGAATACAGAAAAAAAGTTAGGTGCAGCAAATTTGGGCTAAGAATTGCAAAAGTTTTGAGAAGTTATCAAAAACTTTGAATTATAGAAGCAGCTCTAAGTTTATTCTTTTTCTCCACATATAGTCTGATTCTTTTGAAAGTGTAATCATTAGGGCCATAGTAAATTCCTATCTCAAATCAATGAAGTGTGTGTGGATCACCTCTGTTAACAAGTATAAACACCTCTGGTGTTCAGCTAAAAGATCTACTTTGTAGTTTGTGTGAGAGAAGCAATTCCAAATTGCTCAGTAGAATACGTCATTGGATATTTTAGCAAAGGTGACCTACGTTTTTAGTTTTCAGTCCTTTCTTCAGCAGTCTCACCTATGTTTGTGAAACAAAGAGAATTGCCCAACACATGAATCGGAATACTGTTTGCTTCTCATTCGTAGGCCCTACAAAGTTCTCTGCAAGAGCAGCAAAAAGGCCTGAACTATCTCAGCACAACTGTGGAAGACATGTCCAGGAAAGCCCCTGCAGAAGTCAGCCAAAGATATCGATCGGAAATTGAGGTGATCCTTGGCCGCTGGAAGAAATTATCAGCGCAGCTGGTGGAACATTGCCAGAAACTTGAGGAGCTTATGACCAAACTCCAGCGATTCCAGGTTAACCAAACTTTTTCAGCCTCAACTACTATGTGGTCGCTTGTGGCTGTGAGACTAGCACAGAATGCATTTATACACCTCAAGAAAGTAACACCAATGTGAAATATCAAAGGAGCACATAAAATGTATTAAAATGTTTGCTTGATTATGGCAGGTCCAAGATTTTACTTTGAATTCTGATTTTGTGGCTGTTTCTACCTATGTTGTTTCAATAGCAAAACTTAACTTTGATTTCAGTGAAAGTGCTGCTAATATTCCTCTACTTACTTTTTCAAGGTAGCTGAAGTACTTTTTCATGCAGCAGAAGTAGCTGTAACCATACTGACTTTAATGGATTCAGTTACATAATTAAAGTCATTTGTAATATGGTAGTAACTTGGCAGCAGCTGCCAGAAAGCAGAAGTGTGTATGACTTACACAATTGTATGAATTTCACGTTTTTAGAATGACAGCATTGGAACCTTACATTGTTTCTCTCGTTGTGAGGATCTCTATTTATACTTATTTATAAATCACATGTATTGGCATTACATGTAATGTCTATGACTTAGATGTTACAAGATTTAAAATAAGTCTATTTTTAACATATTCCTGTTCCATTTCTATATAATTTCAAGGGACAGGTTTCAGAGGAATTCAGAACAACCAGTCACAAAAGTGGAGAAACTATTTTTAATTTTTTTCTCTCCTCATCCCCATGCAAATGAACACTTGCATACTCAGGGGGGATATTGCAAAGAAAATTCTGAAGGTTGAGGTCCTGCAGCCTTACTCAAAGCTGTGTTCTCAAAGTGTGTTTCTTCTCAGTGTTGTCTCTCTATTTCTATTTACAACATCAAATATTTCTGTCCTTGGCTTTGGTTTGCTGGTAGTAGAACATGATACATGATTAGCTCCATGTTGTGAATTGTAATACAATAGCATATGGACTGTAATTGTTATTTTCAGCTTAATTCAATAGAGTTGTCTGGTCAGAAATAAATTTTCTGTCAAAGTATTCTTACACTTCTGCTTTTGTTAAAAAAAAAAAAACAAACCTACAAACCAAAACCAAACTTTTTAGAGAAGATAAAAAAGTACTCATTATTTTGTTACTCTTCATCAGTTTTTAGATAAGCAAAATGGACCAAAAAAGGAGGAAGCATTTTATCACTACTATTTATAATCTAGCTACTGAAATGCCACATTGCTCTAAATTGTAACTGTGGCTCCATAGCTACATCTCTGATGTTTGAAGCTGGCAATGAAGTGAAGGTTAATGGTATGGTGGGATAACCTTGGCCACCAGCCAGATGCTCCGGCTGCTCTCTCACTCCCTGTCCTCAGCAGGACAGGGGGAGAAGATAGGATGGAAAATCTCTTGGATTGAGATAAAGACAGGGAGATCACTTACCAGTTACCATCATAGGCAAAACAGACACAACTTGGGGAAAATTGAAATAGATTTGGGTAGTAAGAAACAAAGACAAAAATTAAAACACCACCTCTCCCCTTCCCTCTTTTTCCTCGTCTGCGCTCCATTGCTTTACTCTTGTCTCCTCTCCTGCCAAGGGGCACAGTGGGATGGGGAATGGGATGTGCGGTCAGTCCATAACAGCTCCTCTCTGCTGCTCCCTCCTCCTCCTCACTCTTTTCCTTTACTGCAGCATGGGTCCTCCCATGGGCTGCAGTCTTTCAGGAAATACCTGCTCCTGCATGGGACTCTGTACAGGCTGCAGCTTCCTTTAGGGCACTTCAGCTGCTCCAGTGGGCAGTCCTCCATGAGCTGCAGGTGGATATCTGCTCCACTATGGACCTCCATGGGCTGCAGGGGGACAATCTGTGCCACCGTGGTCTTTACCATGGACTGCAGGGGAATCTCTGCTCCGGAAGCTGGAGCACCTCTTCCCCCTCCTCCTTCACTCACCTTGGTATCTGCAGGGCTGTGTCTCACTGTTTTTTTCTCTGCTCCTCTGCATGCCTGGTATTTTTGCCCTTTCTTAACTATATTATCACAGGGGAGTCACTAGCTGACCATGGGATCAGCTGTGTCCTGTGGTGGGTCCATTGGAGGCAGCTGGAACCAACTGTCTCCAGCACAGGGCAGCACCTGGCCTCTCCTCACAGAGGCCATCCCTGCTACCAAAATGTTGCCACATAAATCCAATATAAATGGGAAAGGTAGAAAGTGCTTTTATCAGTAATATAATGAAATATTTGCAATTGCATAAAACAGAATTTGCTTGAGAAATTAAAACTTTGGTCTTGTTTTTTTTCCCTGCATTTTCTGGGTAGAGGTTTAGAGGTTCCCCCATTGCTCTTAAAAGGAGAAAGTCCTGAACATCATGACCATGCTCTGTAGAGCATGTATTTTTAAAGCTGTGTGAGCTATACTTGCATACAAATCTTAGCCTTTATACTTATTGCTGAAGTCACTGTAGTACACAGTTAGTATAAAAGTCATTGTCTTTCCAACTCCTTGAATGACTAATCTTCCAGGTGATTGCTTTAGCTGTTGCAATTTATGGAATGTGTCAGCATGGGATACGATGAAATCAGTGTCGATAAATAAAATGCATCTACAGTCTGATTCAAAATGCAAGTCATAAATTCAGTCTTCACTGGTAGCTGGAGACTGATTCCTTTTTACGTAAATCCCATCAGATCTACATTTTGCAGCCTTAATGAACTATACTTAAAGTATTCATGTAAAGGTATTAAAGTTTCATCATGAAATATGGTTCTGAACTATTTTTACTGACTGAGAATGAAATGCACAGTACATACTTCAACAGTGTTTTGGTAATTGCCATTCTGAAGTGTACTGATAATTTCTGTATGATTATTTTTATTCATTCAGTTCATTTTCCATGGCAGCCTGTTGTTATTAAATATATCAAGCACATTAGGAAAATACTCCCTTTGGTTATCTATCTTGTAATAGTTGTTAAGGCATATTTGTACACAGTTTAGGGCACAGTCTGTATTCTAATGAAATGTTCTTTTTTGTGCTTTAATTCAGCTTTGCATTCAGAATATAGTATCAATATGTACTTCACTGGTACTGAAAACAGTTTGATGAACAAATGCATTATAATTTGCCTTTCAAATTTTTGGCATTTATAATTTTTATTTTAACATGTGCATCTAATTGTTTAGCCAAGGTGGCATTTTAAGGTCATTTTAAGTGACATTTTTTAAATTTCATTCTAACTTTCAAGGCATTATCTATGTAATGTTGCCTGGGACTGGTAGGGTTCCTTCTTTACAAGCATTTGATGTTCAGCTTTTTTTATTAATTGCAAGGGTTAGTTAAAGACTATAGAAAGCAAATTACTGATTACAAAGACTCTAGTGCTAGAAACAGTAACTGAGAATCAGTCTCTGAAACGACTTATTGAGCCATTATTTGATTTTAGTTTCTGAAGGGAATCTGTTTCAATAACTGTTTCAGTTGCAATTTCTTTCTTTCATTCTGAGTAGTAAGGGAGTTCTTCTGTGTTGTGTTCTGGTAGAGAAATAGGCAGTAGAATATGCAACTTCCAAAAAAGGCCTGAAATTTAAATTGAAGCACAGGAGGGTTTGATAGGTGAGCCTGAATTAATTGCCAAGTATGAGTAGTCTGAAGCCATACAAGGAACCAATGAACACACATGCAGCATCTAAACACATATAGTTTCTGGAAGGCATAAACTTGAAAGCCAGAAAGTTGCCCGCTTGTAGACACATTAAACTTGGGCAGAAATGGTCACAGTCGCAGATCAAATTGGTTTTTCTTGTTTGCCGTGTTTGTATTTTTTAGACAGTTCAATAATCTTGAAATTACAGTGCAATGAGTTTTAGTCATAGTACTGGGATGAATTGCACTATTGCCAGTCAGGTTCTGTGTGATGCAATAAAATGTCTTTTTAATAAACAGAATGACACTAAAACACTGAAGAAGTGGATGGCTGAAGTGGATGTTTTTCTGAAGGAAGAGTGGCCTGCCCTTGGTGATTCAGAAGCACTAGAAAAGCAACTTGAGCAATGTACAGTGAGTATTACCTGCCTGCTTGGCAATTATTCAATTATTCTGTATGTGCCTAGCTTATGTAGAAGTTACACAAATTATTATTGTTCCTAAAAATAAATTCATGTTGTAAGGGGGCTGTCTTCTGCAGCGTATTTGAACCTCCTGCATTTCCTGGGTTTGAATGAAAATTCTGTTAAAAAATTGGAAACTTTAATACAGAGAAGAGGCATACAGTGACTGTATCATTATGTATTCATAGCAGGAGCAAAACTGGGTACTTGCAGCAAATAATGTTAGCCTCTTAAGATAAGTGTTTATTTACTTTGTTGAGTTTACAAACATTGCATGTGTATTTGTTATAAGCTGTATAATCCATACAGAAGATTTTTTTCTGTATCTATTATTCACACATGATTTACAAGCTTTTCTGACTATACCAAAAGAACTTGCAGGTGTTGTGAGTTATACCCATTTTTTTTCACTAAGCTTATGAGTTCTAGGATTTTGTCCCAGCAGAGTTTTAAAGCATCATGAAGTATTGATATTTCCATCACAGGGTTTACAAATTCTTCTGCCTGTCCCAACAGAGTGTGTAAGTGCAGTGAATCTTGTAATCCATGATAGTGCCTGTCTATATGTTGAGTGGAATTTACAAGTTCTGTAAATGTTCTGGCAGGATGTGTAAATATTATGAAACATACATATTGATCTTACAGAACTACAAGCTCCTTAGACTTTCTCTCTTACCCCTTATTTAAATAAAAAATGGTTGTAAATTATATAGGACAACTGTTATCTCCACAGAGTAGTAAGTTACACGTAACTCCTTTAGACTCTGTCACGTGAATTTATGAAGAGTTTACGCAAATATTAGCCATTACTGTCAAATATATAACAAAGCTACCAAAATCTTAATCATCTTTTATGTGTTTACACTTCCAGCCTTTTCCACTGTGTAGGAAGCCCAGGTAACATCTGCAGCATTGAAGGCCTTAGGAAATAAAATTGGAAGTGGCAATTCAGAACTGCCTCAGGGCTTAAATAATATTCAAGCACAAATAAAATTCTAATAAATAGACATAACCAGAGAATATCACCACTCAAATAATTTTAAGAAAGTTATCAGATGAATTACCAACCCAAGGGTAATGCTGGCATAGTTAATAATATGGCTTGACCAATAATTGTCCACCATTATGATGGGATGCTCTTTCACAAATGTGAAAAAAAAGATCTAGGCATTGTAATAGATATAAGATATGACTATAATTATATATGTGTATATATATAGTATATAGATAACACTTGAAACTTACATAATATATATTTAGAAAAACTATATCTGATATAGCACAGCTTACCACATCACAGCTGCTCATTCATTTTTTATTTATTTTCATAGTTAAGTCTGTTACTTGTGCTCATTTGACTGGAGATTTGGACCAAAGACATGTCAGAATCTGATGTAGATACATTTTGATAGGGATAGCATATCTGAAAATTTGCGTGAATGCTGCTTGCCTAATCTTCTGCTATTCCTTCAGGCTTTAGTAAATGATATCCAGACAATCCAGCCCAGTTTGAACAGTGTTAATGAGGTTGGGAAGAAAATGAAGAGTGAAGCAGAGCCAGAATTTGCTTCCAGAATAGAGACAGAACTAAAGGATCTCAATGTTCAATGGGAACACATTTGCCAACAGGTATCAAGTATCCTGCAGTGACTGGTTCATTTTAAATTAATAATCAGGTCTCTCATTGGCAGAATTTGTCCTTCTGTGCATATCCAGTAGATACAAAACTGAATTTAGACATATTTGGTTCACATTAATTAAACTTCTGGTTTAGAAATTTTATTTTGCATGTAGCAATGCATGGATATTTCTTTATATTATAATACAATATCTTACTATTTTTATAACAAAGTTATATACTAATATCTTAGATCTTAACAACAACGTAATTTATGCCTCCTGCAAAACTAGCTTTCTGAAAGTGGATATAGGCATTTGCCAAAAAATCAAGTTCTGTATTTAGTGTTACATTTTCTTTTGTGTCATTGTACTCATGTGTCATTACTCTAGATGCAATAAGACACTAAAGCAGTGAAGAGTTCAGAATGCAATAACTTGTAATTAAGAGCATGTACACATATACATATGTGTAAATTACAGTCTCCAATGATCACATGAATTTGAGAGAATGGAGCATAACAGGAAAGGACAATTCTTTTATTTTAATAAAGACATTCTTAATAAATAATTTTACAGATTAAGAAAACTGAAAATTACTATTATTTCATTACTGGCATTTGGATTCTCATTCTTTATGACAGTTCAAAGGAAACATCTTTCATGTTGTATTACTTTTACTTTTTTTTCTATTTGCTCATTCTGTTGTCCACCTTTTTAAACATATATCTCCATAATAGTAAAACTATTACCTTTCAAGGTGGTCTGCTGTTTTCTAAAGTTACTATTCTTAACTTTAGACGTGAAAAATAGCCTCTGTCTATTTTTCTGGTAAAATTATCAAAGAAGTTGATCTTTGAAATTTGTAAGACATTTTATTGATGCAGTTCTGTAGTCTTTCCCCTTCAACTAATGTGGAGTTTTTAATTGCTTATTTTTGTAATATTAATAAGTTGGATGTCTTTGCACTTCTCTTGCAGAAATTTCAAGTAATGCCCTATAAGTTTAGAAGTCTGTAACAGTTTTCTTCTGACTTCCTTGAAAATCTGCCTGTAATAGTTCCATTCAATACACAGCACAAATTATTGCCTCTTAGTGGGCATTTCTAACACAACTTCTTCAGTGATAGCTATTAAAACACATGAGTAGTAAATATAAAAATCAGTTTGGTCTGTGGGGATTTCTTGAAAGGATTTGGAAAAGTTGGCTTGAGTTGATATACATGCAGTTAATTGGACTGTGAGAACTAACAATTGGCATTCACATACTCTTTCCAGGTGATGGGAGATTACCCTCTCTTCTGGTGCTGTGAGTGAGGAAGAGGCAATTTTGCAGGGCCACTTATGGTTCTGCTTTTATACTTGTTGGACATCACCTTTTTATTAATATGTTTTATTCTGTAAAACAACATTTATGTAGAACAACATTTATGTTTAACACCACGTCCTCAAGGATGAGTAAAGAAACCAGTAACAGTCAGAAACTAGGACCAAATACTAAGACAGAATTCCTCCTGATGTTACTGAAAATAACACTGAAGTAGCATCACAGTGCAGGGTGTTGGAGTGGTCAGCTCTGCAAGCCCAACACTGAAAAATGGCACCAGTGCAACTAACTGGTTTTGTTGCAAATTTCTTTATACCATTGAAAGATGGCTCAGCCAATGGCTCAATAGGTTATGGACAATTTTGATAGGCTGATGCACAATTCATAGAATCATAGAATGGTTTGGCATGGAAGGACCGTAAATATCATCTAGTTCTAGTTCTGTATGTGATCTATATAACATAAGTTATATGACCCCTATATAGTGATTGGCAAAGGATTTGACAAAAATATTTTTCCCTTTAAGATAAGTAGTTTCTTCCAGAAAGAAAAAAAAAAAAAAGGAGATTCTTTCTTTACTTACCTATTTTTAGAATATACACCTTTCTGAGAGATTCAATAATAATTTCATCAGTGGAAGAAAATATGCATATTACTTTATTCTCTAGCAAGTTGCATTCAAACTGGTTAGAAGGTTATCTTACTTTATAGCTCAAGAGCCTCTGGTTTTATCCTTGGATGCACTTTCAAGGTCTCCCGTGGTGGTTCTTTTTATATCTTTTAGAAGATAGTCTCTGGGTGATTTTTTTTCAGATTTGTTTTCTGATGACCTCAGCAAATGGTGTAGAGTCTTCTTCTAGGATCATTGAAAACTCATTCTGCATATCAATGACTCACCAAAACAAGGATGTGTACACATGTGTAATACTTTCTCGATTACCTGTTATTAATATCTATCTAATTATTTGTTAACATCTGCCTTATTACAGCAATATTGTTAGTATAGGATTTAATTTGGTTCTTTTCATGTTGAAATACTGTCAAGTTCATACTTTGTCAAGCCTTGCTTCAAGTACCATGTAATGTTTTCTTTCTTAAAGGCCTATGCTAAAAAGGCAGCATTAAAAGGTGGTTTGGATAAGACTGTGAGTCTCAGAAAAGATTTGTCGGAGATGCACGAATGGATAACACAAGCTGAGGAAGAATATCTGGAAAGAGATTTTGAGTATAAAACACCTGATGAATTACAGAGAGCTGTTGAGGAACTGAAGGTAAAAGATGAACTAATTCCTTCAGCTGTATTTAAAGTTCTTTTTGAAGCTTTCTTTTAGAAAGGTGACTTTGAGATCTACTTGTTAGCCTAAAATTTAAAGCAGTGGGCAGCTTGAAGTAATTCCTATTCAGAATATTGTGGAAGATATTTAATCTTTCACAATACTGCATTGCTTTTTTTTTTTTTTTTTCTCTTTGCCTTATTGACTACGTGATTTTGATGCAGCTTCAACATTCTTTTCCTTAAGGAATAATTCCTAAGAATCGGGTGTCAGCAGCAGTTAACTGATAGAGTAAAATCAGTTTTATGTCTTCTCTTTATGTTAGAGAGAGAAAAAAAAAATATTTAGGACTTCAGGATGCATGTTGGTATGTACTAAGTATGCATGATTTATTATTTCTTTTATATGGTAATATGGGAACAGCATATTTTGGTCTCAAGTAAATAATGTTTCTTTTATGTGGGGTGAATATGGCCTTTGGACAAAACCACTAATTTGTGATACATGCTCAAATATACTCTTGCTCAGCCACTGGATGTGGGCTTGATTTTTAATTCATAGGTGAATTGTTTGGCCTGTGCTATTCAGGAAGTCAGATATGGCCTGAACAATCTATCCAACACTTGTTTGCAAAGTCTTCACTGTCCATAGGGTTTTTCCAGTGTTTGAGAGTATCTGACCATGCAGCTGATGATCTCTTTATTCACTGATAAAAGTTACTTGATGTCAGTCAGAATATGCAGAATATATGGCAATACATGGAACAAGTTCGATTCATTGTAAATGAGACAAATGTATCAAAAGTAAACATCTGCTCTAGAGATATAGTTCATTTTTTTAGTAATTAAATAACAAAACTCAAATTTATACATTGCACTGCATAGTAAAACAGGTAAAATGTATTGTTTTAGACACAACCCTCATTATGGATTTCCTAGTGAATATTCTATGTACTTCCAGCTGAAGTACAGGTATGTTCAGACTGTGGCACCTCGGCTTAGGCAGCTAACCAGATCATTTGTCTGCATCCCTTCACTTGCTCCTGATGATCCTTCCCATCGTGGCTTGTAGCCACCTCTCCTGTCACACAACAGGCAAAATCTGCACCAGAACTCTTTGTTCCTCCTGTAGCCCGTTTATTCCCACAGCTAGGGAAGAGGAAAGCCAAGAGCAACCTAGTGAACTTTCTCGGGCAATGGCAGCCTGATCCCAGTTATTCTGGTGCATGGCCTTCCTCAGACCCAGAGAGAATGAAAGTTGTTGGGAACAAGGTTTTGTTTTAATGTTTTCAGGCCAAGGGGAGCTCTCACTTAAATTCCTGTGAAGACCGGTACACACTGATGACACTATGTATACCATCACTCTGTTTCCAGAAGTGATATGACTCCAGTCATAGACACCGTCCCATTGTAAGCATTCAGGGGAAACAATGCTCGGTAGGGCAGTCTTGTATCTTATTAATGAGATGGCGTAACAAGGGAGAGTAGCAAAAAGTGGAGGAAGGAAGTTGAGAATTGGATTATCAGTTGTTGTGGTTACATAGGCTAAAACAGGGAAAAGGTGGCAGGTTGGTGGTTCCAGATCAGTTACATATGTTTTGTTAATTATTGGTTTTAATTCATCACCCATTTGTGGTTCTCTGTGTCTCTCAGATCTTTATATTTCCTACGTCTGTCCGTTGTGAAAACTTCTCTGCCTAGGATCTAACACAAAAAGTGCTGTTTAGGAGGATGCTCCCTTTTCACTTTCTCCTCTCTTCACATTAGGTTAATGTTCACTGGCGGTGAATAATGGTGCTGATTTTTCTGTCTCCATAAAGGGAGAGAATGAAATCAACATTAATGCTCTGATAAAAGTGTGAAAGATACACTGGGGAAAAATTATTTTCTGAATTTCTCTTTAAATGCAGGTTAATGACAGTGGCAAGGGGAGGAAAATCAGTCAGAACTATTTTCCTTTTTTTCTGTCTTGCTGGTTGTGATTGTACTTTAAACCTGGGTACTTGAATTTGTAAACAGCAGGGGTTTTTTGACATTTGTGGTTCATAAGGTATCATGGCAAAGGTATTTGGACCTTTTCTTGGGAAAAAAAAAAAATACTGAAATGTTTTACTATTCTGAGAGTTCCAGAAAACTAAATAGTCGTGAGAAGATGTTAAATTCTATTGAGTATCATGTATTGGCAACAAAATGAAAAAAGAAGATTTTTGGATGCATTCAAGTTTATGTCAGAACGTCTGGGAATTAAATAGCTCTTGTTGGGGTTTTTTTGGTTTGGGTTTGTTTTTTTTTTTTTGTGACATTGTTTGGGGTTTTTTCCCTCTGACAGAATTCTGTCAGAGAGAATTCTAACAGATTTATTAGAAATAAGTTTCCTTCTTAAATCAGGACTACAACTTTTTTTTTTTTTTTTTTTCCCAGAGGGCAAAGGAAGAAGCCATGCAGAAAGAAGTGAAAGTGAAGCTTATTACTGATTCTGTGAATAATTTCATAGCAAAGGCTCCACCTGCAGCTCATGAGGCTTTGAAAAAGGAGCTTGATGTTCTAATTACCAGCTACCAGCGACTCTGCAGCAGACTGAATGGAAAGTGCAAAACTTTGGAGGTTGGCTATCTTGTCAGTTATTATATTTATAGCCCTTCTAGCTGCAAAAGTAAGGTAGAGAACAAAGATGTATTATCATATAGGATCATGAGTAGCCCAGGGCATTCCTCACTTTATGAGTCATATACCAAATACCACATGGTATGAGCCATATACCTAAATCTTTCTGAGAATCATGCATATTGGAGAGTCATATTAAAAGAGAAGCCTCAGACATGGCTTTTAGGTGGGAGACAGCAGTGGCTGCTCAGGGCTCTTATACCTCCTGATATTAAGCCAAGTATCCGGCTTCTGTAGCAACGCTGTGACGTTGTCTTCACCAGCTCCTCTAGGCTTCTTTCTTCCATGGCTAAGGATTTTGATTAAATGGCCCTGAAGCTGGGCAGGTGGTGTTATCTCAGCATAGGAACAGCATTTGATCTGCTGGCAAGTTGAATATGTCTCATGCATTTTGAGCTGACCCTGCCATTTTGGCCAACTCCATTACAGATTCTTGCCATATCACTGTTTGCATATTGCAGAGTGGTCACAGTGAATTAGGTATGATTTTTTGTTGTGAACTAATTTACAATAACTGACTTCATACAGGACAATTATTTACCTGGATAAAATTTATCTCCTCTATATTTCACTGTGGAATATTAGGTGTGTAGTCTAATCTGGTAATCTATATTTCCCCTGATCATTGATGTTGTTGTGGTTGTGTGGTAATATCCCTCTATAACATCCTCCTAGACCAGGCACTTATATTTGATATGACCAAAAGTTAGGTGAGGTGAACAGCATTCTGGGAAACGATCTACAAACAGCCTAATCATCTCAATAAAATTGGTTTAACTTCTACTAACAAAAAAGGAACAATGAAAAGATGATTTATGGAAAGTTTAAATGTTTTGCTTGTGTGTAAAGTGCCATTTTTATCTGCTTATTTAAGTATCTTCAGACACTGTAAAAATAAAATATTAGACAATAATTTAATTGCAGGAGAATAAGAACATAATTTCATTTTACAACTTTATGTTTAGTACTCTAGCACTTAAGTGGTCTATAAATTGCACTAAATGTGGTTTAGAAATAATTTCCATAGAGATTTCAGTCAGAATTCTTGAAAGCTGTGTTTTTAGACATTTTATGAATCTGTGCTTTAAGTAATTAATACACAGAATGTATAAGCAACCTAACTACATCTGGTAATAAAGACATAAACTTCTAACACGAGTCTTTAAAAATTCTGATAATTTGTGTATTTATATATTACAAGAAAATTTTTCAGAAAAGCATATAAAGTGGATAATTCATGAGACAGAAGATTCAAGTAGTGTTTTGCAGAAGCGTTCAGTTTTTCATGTTATCTTCTGTGGTTTTCCTCTGTTTAATCAAAATGTTTTGGTTGTGTGTTACATTTATTTGGAACATATAAATACTGAGAAAAAAATCATCTGTACGGCACCGTAACCATCAGATATCAACCATGTTGTTTTGGGGATGAAGCCTGCAATGTTTTCAAAGTTTTAATAAGTGAAAGTTAGCTGTGAGAATTTCCAGCTCAATAAAATTTTTTTTCTCCATCAGGAGGTATGGGCATGTTGGCGTGAATTATTGTCTTATTTGGATGCAGAAAATAAATGGTTGAATGAGATTGAACTGAAACTCAAGGCAACTGAAAATATCCAGGGAGGTGCAGAAGAGATTTCTGAGTCTCTAGATGTAAGTGCTGACTTAAATAATATCAAATCATATCTATTGATAAATTGTAAAGCACACATTACAATCAAAACAGTCTATGAATCAACTTTATACATGAGCATGATGCAGAATATTTGGAAAGTCGTATGTTCTCACCTGATTCAACAAATGAGATTTTGAATTTGAATCCACCTAAGTGAAACAGAGTAATTAAATGTGTTATGCCTGATGTCATAGACAATCTTTGGTGACAATAAAATACATGTTCTTAAAAACCATGGCCTCACTTCAGCCAGTCGAAAAGATGTTGAAGACTTCAGAGAGAGCAAGCTGTCATTCTAGCACTGTAACACTGTTTATTATTACATAATTTTTATTCATGGAACCTTTCAAATTTGTAGAAATTAAGTTAATACTCTTAGTGGATCAAAATACAAAATTTTACACTGATAATGCATTTTTGCTGTTGAACTTCGTCCATTCAGATACTCAAGCAAATTTTTTATTTTTAAGTACACAAATACTCCCACTGAACTCATTGGGCATAGTCCACATTCTTAAAATCAAGCAGACAATTTAACTGCTTTGTGAAAAATCTTTCTTTGTTTTCAGTAGTAAGTAGTACAGAACATTTGTTGTCAAGTCATGGGACACTGATAATTTTATCTTTTCTGTCTACTTTTATTGTGTATGAAATGTGAAGTTTCTTACAGTTTTAAGGGGGATTGTGATTGCTCTGTAGAATCTTATTTGCAGAAAGGAAAACAAACTACTTTTTTGACCTTCTTTCAGTCTTTGGAACGTTTAATGAGACATCCAGAAGATAATCGCAATCAGATTCGGGAATTGGCTCAGACTTTAACTGATGGTGGAATCTTGGATGAATTGATCAATGAGAAACTTGAGAAGTTCAATACTCGATGGGAAGAACTTCAGCA